CTGCCCCCATCTAGATGGCTACCCACCACCTTTCCCACTGCCCCCCACCTGTCCTGCAGCCACCCCTCCTGTGACACTACCCCCATCTACACTGCTACCCACCACCTGTCTCACTGCCCCTTTCCAGCTCTGCTGCCCCCCACATGTCACTCTGCGCTCCCCCCATCTGGCTCCTAGATTCAAAGCAAATTTGTCAAGCCTTAGTTTAATGGGACACTAAACTCTGGCTCATAAAAATATATTCTACTGTATTTTTTATTCTAAACTTAAAAAAGTACATTCTATTGCTCTCAATCTTCTCCAAATCCCCAAATTTGGATGGAAGATTTCAGCAACTGTACTCTCCCTTGTGCCAAAAAAAAAAAAAAGGAAAAAAAAGTAGTCTTTAAAATGATAATTGCACGTATTTTTCCTTAAATACAAGTTGCAGGCAGGGCAAGCTAGACCTAAGAAGCATGCAGGTGCAAAGCCACTTAGATGTTATGTACACAAAACACTGCATGGGTTACACAAGGCTGCTAAATAACACAAGGGTTAGGAATCCTTTAACCATTAGCAACCCACCAAAATGCTAGTTCCTTGGCTGTAATGTCAATCCCATGCTAGCAGTATTTTCTGATTAACCAAGCAAGAAGTCTGAACCCTGATCTGAGCCATTATTATATCTGACTCACTGAGCTGGAAGAGAATGCAGATCAAGATTTCTGACTTCACTATCGTGCACTTCTTACAAGTCAGTGACTAAAAGTACTGCAGCCAGAGACAGCCAGGTAGTTAGCATTTTCAGAAGGTGGTCAGCAATGTCAGCTTCCAAATTTCTGTCAGTAACCTTTTTTTTTGGGTTTGTTTTTTTTTTAATGTGGGCTACTTTTCATCATCCCAGAGTTCCTTGAGAATGTAGCTTTAAACTGGAACTTTAGTCAGAAAATGAAGTCCTGCTAGATCACTTCAGGCTGGCCCCTTTTGCAGGTATAGCTATGTAAAGCATTAAAAAATAAGTGTCTATACTGCTTAAAATCCAATTATACATGGTCTCACCCTGCTCTGCACATGTTCAGTTGCTCTCTATTGTTAGGCACAATGCAGAGTTTGCAGTGGCCGATCTGCTAATGGCCTAAAGATTTTTAAAGTCCTGCTTGCTGTATTTGTTATGCATGTTTGCAGGAAAAAAAAAAAAAACAAAAAAAAAAAAAAACAAAACAACACACAACAGACCAAAAACACACCTCTCTACTGAAATGAATGGAAAACGCATCAAAAACACACCAGTTGTTGAGTTTTGGTGCATTTTTTGAGTCACTTGTCATTTTTCACAGGTCCAAAATGTACCGGAAATGTGGGAAAAAAAAAAAAAAAAAAAAAAAAAAAAAAAAAAAAAAAAAAAAACATATGCATGCGTTTTTGTAATGAGTAGTGTGAAAGCAGCCAACTATACAACTTATTAACTATACTATAAACTTGAAATAATTGCTATATTACTTACACTATGACCTATCGGCTCTCTGGAAACATATGGGAGAGATAGATTATATATATATATATATATATATATATATATATATATCTCTATATCTATCTATATCTCTAAAAACATTTTTCATTTTTTAAATATTAAGTGCATATGAAATATATAATGAGCAGAGATGAGTCACTAAGGCTGGTAAGTTATTACAACTGTATATAATGGCCTGTACAGCTGGGTGTGTCAACAGATTTAGGACATGCTAATAGCATGCAAATGGGAAAAAATTCTTGTGTTGTTTCTGTAAAGCTTATAGCATTTTAAACTTATCGGCTTTGATAGACGGATGAAACTGAAAACTGATTACAGTTCAATAACTTATGTACATCTCAGAAGACCAATTACCTGTACTGTCAATAACCCATGATCATCTAACACAACCCCCACCTAGGTCTCGGCTCCTCCTGGGACATGGCTGTATAACATCTAATGTGCCCAGGCATAAATCCAGCCATGTGATGGCCACAGTGATAATGGTCCAGTGCAGCTTGGACTTCAGAGGCAGTGCTCCCCTATGTTTTCAGTCAGGGGTGACTAAACCACCAACATCTACATATACCAGAATACATGTGTGTGGGTGAACTATATGAACAGAAAGGTGGGGAAGCCTTATGCAGGCCATAGACAGGAGGGAAAAAAAAAAAAAAAAAAACCCACGGCCGATTTTTGCACCGTTAATGGGTTAATTGGTCGGCCGTTTTTTGGCACATTTTTTTTAATCGCTAAAGTTGGGAAAAAAAGAAAAAAAAAAAAACAGCTGATTTTCCAGGCAATGAAGGGCAAATCGGTCCGATCGTTTTACCGATAAACAATCTGCGCATGAGAGGAGGAGGAGAAGGAGACGAAGGAGAAGGAGACGAAGGAGAAGGAGACGAAGGAGAAGGAGACGAAGGAGAAAAAAAAAAGGAGACGAAGGAGAAAAAAAAAAAAGACGAAGGAGAAAAAAAAAAAGGAGACGAAGGAGAAGAAGAAGGAGAGAAAGAAAAAAAGGAGAAGAAAAAAAAAAGAGAGAAGAAGAAAAAAAAAAAGAAGAAAAAAAAAAGAAAAAAAAGAAAAAGAAAAAAAGAGAAGAGAAAAAAAAAAGAGAAGAAGAAAAAAAGGGAAGAAGAAGAAGAAAAAAAAGGGAAGAAGAAAAAAAAAAAGGAAGAAGAAAAAAAAGGGAAGAAGAAAAAAAAAAAAAGGGAAGAAAAAAAAAAGGGAAGAAGGAAAAAAAAAAGGGAAGAAGAAAAAAAAAAGGGAAGAAATTCCAGTCTGCTATTATATTTGTCATGAAAAAGGTCTTGTGGTTGCAACAATGTATCTATTTGTATACGAATAAAAACATCTGTATCCGAAATGGATACAAATAGATACATTGTTGCAACCGCAAGACCTTTTTCATGTCAAATATAATAGCGTAGCTCTCTGCAAGGGACAGAAGTAATTAAATGCTGGCCGTAGACGGGACGAAAATCGGGCGACTCTTTTTACCGTTGGTGGTAACGTCGGCCTATTGAACTCCCGATTTTTCTTTTTTTTTTTTTAAACGGCCAGTTTTGGACCCGTCTATGGCCTGCATTAGAATCCTAGAGCTTGCTTTATTCTTCTCTCCAGCAGGCTGGACCAGCCATTCTCAACCAGGGTTCCTCCAGAAGTTGTTGGTTGACCATTGGCTTTTTGACCTCATGCCTGATGGTACCTACCTACCTAATACCAGGGCCAACGCCACTAGGCAGGGACACTGTGCACCAAAGATCTTCTAAAAGAGAAGTATGGCGTTCCGAGCTCCCACACCAACTCTAGACCAAGAACTGTGCAATAAAAGACCACTAATTGCTCAGTCCTCGGTCTTCAGTGAAGAGAGAGCCTGTGAATGTCAGTCACCTCTCTCTGCTCCTCTATCCCTCGCTGGAGCGATGGGCTGTGGAGGGGGTCTGAGCGGCTGGCTTAGGCCGTCAAAACCTTGATGAGAGGCTGAACCAGCTGTCAGTCCAGTATCTGGGTGGATCCCGACCATATTGTTTGGATCTTTTAAGAGCCTGGACTGGTTCAGTGTTGTCAGCCAAGAGTGGGTTTTTAGCTCACTGTTGGCTGAAAGTGGATCACAGTAGTGCAGAATGAACTGCACCGCATAGGAGAAGTATAGCCAAAAAAAGCTTTGGCCCTACTTCTTTAACCTCTTGATGCCGCAATATATATATATGTGGGCTCTCGGTGGGTGGGCCTTAACACAGAGACCGCATGTACACGTACCAGAATGTAAACAGAGCTGTGCCAAGAGCATGTGCTCTGGGTGTTACCAGCAGCTAACGGAAAGCTCCGGATCTCTACTTGCGATTGAGAGCTTTCCGATCATGTGACCGCTGTGACAGCCAATCACGTCGGTCCCATGATCAGAAACCCTGCCCCGTCTCCCAGCATCAGAAACCTCTTAAAGTTCCGGGAGGCGCCGGCACTTTTCAGAGGGAGGTAGACCAGCATCTATCTATGAGATCTAATGTTTATCCTGTTACCTCCTGTATGGCAATGTTTGAGAGTTTTGTATTCAAGTACTGTATGGCAACCGTGAGTCTTTGCTGTGTGGTTCAATCGACGTTAACGGGCAAGTTTGACAGGTGGTGTCACTGGTGAAACTCAGCAAGTTGAGAAATTTTCTGTGGCAGGTGTTACATATGTTCCCACTGACCACCATGCACCTTGATGGTGACCCCCCATAGAGTGGTTGTGGAAGGGGGTCCTCAAGACAATTTTTTTTTGGGGGGGGGGGGGGGGGGGGGAAGAGGTTGGGCAAGGCTGGCCTAGAATCAGTTCCTGAAACATTCTACTCTATGACCCGATTTTAGCTAGCTGGACCTTTACTGCCTTTAGCCCTCTGATGACAGGACGTGCATACAAGCCAGGGTGGCCCGCGTACAAGCCAGGGTGGCCCGCGAGCAAGCCAGGGTGGCCCGCGTACAAGCCAGGGTGGCCCGCGTAACAAGCCAGGGTGGCCCGCGAACGAGGGTACAAGGCCCGAGGGTGGCCCGAGTACAAGCCAGGGTGGCCCGAGTACAAGCCAGGGTGGCCCGAGTACAAGCCAGGGTGGCCCGAGTACAAGCCAGGGTGGCCCGAGTACAAGCCAGGGTAGCCCGCGTACAAGCCAGGAGGCCAACAAGGGCCATCACATGATGATCACACAGAGTGAAGCAGTCCCCAGCACATGATGGGAGGTTTCATTGACCTAAAAAGGAATGTAGAGCAATCACCAGGGGATGTACACTGAATGCTCCATCCATGTATGCAGGCACTTCTTCCATAGGTGGCTCCTTAGCATCCTATCCATCATGAGCACACAGGGCCTCCACCATCACAACTCCATAGTACTGCATGGAGGTGACAGTGCAATGTATGGACGATGAGCCATGTTTACACTCCCCGGCCCCGCTGACACATCCCCAGCCGCTGACAGCACTGACACAGCTCCATCACTGATGTCGGGCACACAACTGCGCATGCTTACTGTTGTTGGTGATCCTCTGGATGTTGCCGCTGCATGTCTGTATGATACTAGTGAAGTCCTTCCCGGGCCCCGCTCTGCTGCCAGTGACCGGACATCTTCCCGTCTGCTCGGCCCGACTCAGCTCCGTTTGTGCTGCCGGTCACTTTGCTAGTGCGCAGGCGCTGAGCTACGCCCGATAGGAGAGGTCGTGCGGTGTCGTCACTCGGCGAGCAGGAAAGAGAAGGCAAGCTTGTGGGCGTGGCTGCGCATCAGCTGTCTCCAGACCTCGCACCGGGCTGATCCTGATTGGAGAATGATGTGTGATGGATGGATGGATGGATCGGGAGGAGAGGGAGTATAAAGCAATATTTAACAAAAAAGCAAGCATGTATTATATTGCAACTTACCAATTCCTTGATGGGACGGCTGCATTAGTTTCCTTTTTTCAATTCTATTTTTATTTGGTGATCTAACCATTAACCACTTGCCTACAGGGCACTTATACCCCCTTCCTGCCCAGGCCAATTTCCAGCTTTCAGCACTGTCACACTTTGAATGACAATTGTGCGGTCATGCAACACTGTACCCATATTAAATTTTTAGCATTTTGTTTGAGACAGATAGAGTTTTATTTTGGTGGTATTTAATCACCTCCTGGAATTTATATTTTTTCTTAAACAAACCAAAAACCACAGAAAATTTTGAAAAAAAAAGTTTTTTCTTAGTTTTTGTTATACAATTTTGTAAATAAGTGATTTTTCTCCTTCACTGATGTGCGCTAATGAGGCTGCAGTGATGGGCACTGATAGGCTGCACTGATGGGCATTGACAGGCATCACTGATGGGCACTGAAAGGCAGCACTGATACATGACACTGATATATGGCATTGATAGGCGGCACTGACTGGCACTGTTAGGCGGCACTGACTGACACTGTTAGGCAGCACTGACTGGCACTGTTAGGTGGCACTGACTGGCACTGATAGGCGACACTGACTGGCACTGATAGGTGGCACTGATTGGCAGCACTGATAGGTGGCAGTGATTGGCATTGATAGGTGGCACTGACTGGCACTGATGGGTGACATTGAAAGGCAGCTCAGATGGGCACTGATATATGGCATTGATGTGCACTGGTATGCACTGATATGTGGCATTGATGTGGCACTGATGGGCACTGGCACGTGGAACTGATGAGCACCGACTGCTGGCACTGATGGGCACTGGCACGTGGCACTGATGAGCACCGACTGCTGGCACTGATGGACACTGACAGGTGGCACTTCTGGGGCCACACTGATCATCAGTGCCCTGATGATCAGTGTACATGTCCCCTCCGTGGAAAGCCGATTACCGGCTCTCCTCTCCTCTGTCAGCGTGACAGCTCGAGAGGAGAGAAATGACGATAACCGGCATTTCCATGTTTACATGTGATCAGCTGTGATTGGACACAGCTGATCACACGACTGAGCCGACATCTTCAGCTCTTTCCGTGATCCGTTGTGTCCGAGGGACACAGTGCACCGGCGATCGCCGCGCTGCGCGCTGCACGCTCCCTGAGCCACGCATACGCGGTGAGAATGAGAGGACGTCATATGACGTCCTATCAGAACGAGAGAACCACCTTGCGCCCGTCATTGTACTATATGGCGGGCGGAAGGTGGTTAAAGTAGACTAGTAACCAGGGGCAGACTGACCATTCGAGCACTCGGGCACTGCCCGAGGGTGCGGGCTCAGTAGGGGGCCCCATGAGATGCCCCTGGTACCTTTCATTGGCTTTTTCATAGGCTTTTTTGGGTATGGGCGAGGACATGAGGGCCTCATGATCCCCTATTTCCCAGGGGCCCCATGAGTTGTCAGTCCACCCCTGCTAGTAACATTTTTTTTTTTAGTTTTGGATAGTGCTAGACTATTTTGCGCCCTAGGCAAGGCCAGCTACCTGTGCCCCCCACCAAAAAAAATTAAATTAATTTTAAAACCAGTAGAAAATATTAAATCAACAAAACATGAAACAGGCCAATTTCTTTTAATTTGCAAAAATAATTGCAATAAGATGCCACCAATATTAAAGACAAAATGTATATCAACCAGGGTCGGACTGACCGTTTGGAAACTCGGGCACTGCCCGAGGGCCCGGGGTCAGTAGGGGGCCCCATGAGATGCCCCTGGTACCTTTTTCATAGGCTTTTTTGAGTTTGGGCAAGGGCACAGGGGCCCATGATCCCCTATTGCCCGAGGGCCCCATAAGTTGTCAGTCCGCCCCTGATATTAACCAAATATAAATTAACTGTAATAAAAAAAAGACAAAAACAAAAAAAAAGAGTTACGAAAACGCCACAGTGGTACTGTGGGTATATGATTATAACTTTTTTTTTTTTTTAATGGTTGAATTGGATGGACTTTTGTGTTTTTTCAGCCAAACTAACTATGTAACTATGATCAGCAGCCGCCAGCTGGACTGCAGTAAGGGACTAAGTCTGAGAGGAACACTGGAATGAGTGGTAGCTCAGCTGCTACACTGGCCCCAGACACCCGGCATCTTCCTCTGTCCTCCCCCTCCCCTTAGCTGAAGGATCATTCATGATATGGGGGTGTCCAACACGATCAATGAGCATCCACTCACTCACCACGACCATTGTTGGCCCACCTCCTCCTCCCGTCACCTCCATGACCTACCATCCTCCCAGGCTCGGCTCTCCTCTGATGGCTCCTGCTGGGCTGCAGAGTCCAGGCTGCGACTCTTTGCCCTTTTCACACAGGCATTCCATTTTTTTCATCAGTTCAGGCACATTTTTTCTAAGAAAAAAAGAGATCAGTTCACATAAGTTTTTCATCAGTTCACATCTGTTTTTTGTCAGTTTACATCTTTTTTTTGTCAGTTTACATCCGATTACATCAGTTTTGCGTCCGTTTACATCCACTTTCATCCATTTACATCCATTTGGAAACGGATGTAAACAGACAAAAACGGATGTAAAGGAACAAAAACTGATGTAAAAGGACAAAAATGGATGTACATCCATTTTTCATCCTTTTACATCAGTTTTTGTTCCTTTACATCCGTTTTTGTCCGTTTACATCTGTTTTTTTTTTAACAGTAGAAAAATAGGGTTTTCTGCCGTTCAAATAAACAGATGTTAACGGATGCAGACATTAACTGCTTCCCATCCGCCCTATATTAGAAATACTGCTACAGGGTGGCACGGGTGTGCAAAATCACGTATATATATGTGATTTTGCATTTCCGAGTAAGGGGGTATATATACCGCCATTTGTAAATGCTATAACTTTCACGTAAACCAATTAATTTACACATATTGGGATTTTTTTAGCAAAGACACGTAGAAGAATACATTTTGGCTTAAATTTATGCCGAAATTTGATTTTTTAAAATTTTTTTTACTGGACATGTTTAATAGGAAAAGAAAGCTCAATTCGTGGGAAAATGACATGTATACAAGCCAGGGGACCAACAAAGGCCATCACATGATGATCACACAGAGTGAAGCAGTCCCCAGCACATGATGGGAGGTTTCATTGACCTGAAAAAGAATGTAGAGCAATCACCAGGGGATGTACACTGCATGCTCCATCCATGTACGCAGGTACTTCTGCATACATGACGAAATTTGATTTTTTAAATTTTTTTTACTGGACATGTTTAATAGCAAAAAGTCAAAAATGTGTTTTTTTTCTCAAAATTATTGGCCTTTTTTATAGCGCTAAAAATAGGAAACGCACAGGCGATCAAATACCACTGAAAGAAAGCTCAATTAGTGGGAAAAAAGGACGTATATTTCATTTGGGTGCAACATTGCATGACCGCGCAATTGTCAGTTAAAGTAACGCAGCGCCGTAACGCAAAAAAAAATGGCCTGGTCAGGAAGGGGGGTAAATCCTCAGGAGGACAAGTGGTGATTAATGGATGTAAGCAGATGATCATCTGTTTACTTCCGCTAGTCCATAGAAATACATGGATGTCCGTTTTTCATCCGTAAACGGACAGATGAAAAATTGACATACAGAACGCCCGTATGAAAGGGACCTTAGGACGGGCGGCCTCCCAGCGCTACACTTTCCTCTCATACTCGGGCCCCACTCATCCTACTTACATAGGGTTAACCCTGAAATCAGAGCACACCCCAGCCTATTCATTGGCTCCAGCTGTGTAGAAGAAGGTGGAGCCAGCTCTGAACATGTCCCATTTGACAAGTTTGACAGCTGGTGTCACCGGTGAAACTCAGCAAGTTGAGAAATTTTCTGTGGCAGGTGTACATATCTGCTTGTAGGCAGGATAAACAGCGCACATCAGCAGTCTTTTTTTACCACCCCCTCGGCAACCCAGGGGAAGGGGAAATGGGGGGAATGTTCTAAATAAATATTTAGACAGTATAAAGGTGAATAAATCACTTGGACCTGATGGCATACACCCATGGGTCCTTAAAGAATTGAGCTTTGTCATTTCAAAGCCATTGTTTCTCATTTTTAGGGACTCTTTAACCTTTGGCCGCCTGGCCTATGGCCAGATGGCGTCTGGCAAAATTCCTCAGCGTTCCAGGTGGACGCCATATGGCGTCCTCCTGGGCATGTGCAGTTTACGCGCCTGCAGAGCCGCACAGCGGTGCGATCTGTCACCGGCCGTGTACCTCGGACACAGCCGATGACAGATCTGAGTACCAGCCCCGTTGCCAGGTTGGGTACCATGTGACCTGCTGTGACCAATCACAGCAGGTCACATGACAGTTGTATACAATGGATGGCCTCATTCATGCCATCCATTGTATACTAGTGTGCCTAGCTGTGAATGGTCAGCCCAGCTGTGTCATGTGATTAGCGGTGGCCAAATCACAGCTAAGCTCAAAAAAAAAAAAAAAAAAAGCCCTGAATGAATCGATGTCATTCAGGTAAATGCTTTCTTATAGCAAAGTAATTCTTTGCTATAAGCAAATTGTGTAAAAAAAAAAAAAAAAAATACTGATCACTTCCCCAAAGTAGTACAATGTTACTATGGTAACATTGTACTACTTTGGTCATAGTGAAATATGAAAACAAAAATCTTAAAAAAAAGAAAAAAAAATTAATAAAAAATTAAAAATAATTTTAAAAAAAAATGTAAATTTTTTTTTTTTTTTTTTTGTACTGTCACCAGTCAGTGTCCCTGATCACCACCATGCCAGTTATATGATGATGCTGTACTGCACTGGTGACAGTATGTAAAAAGAAATAGTGAAAATAATTTTTTTAATTTTTTCATAGGGTTGGAAGGACAGATTTGAGTCTAGAGTGACACCTAGGACTTTGGCTTGCGGGGTGGGGCTGATGGTGGCGTTGTGATGGAGAGGTCGGGGGGGGGGCGCGGGCTGAAGGGGTGAGGCAAGGGGTAGAGAGGTAGATTTGCGTGTCATCAGCATAGAGGTGGTAGTTGAAAGCCATGGGAGTGTATCAGTTGGCCAAGGGAGGAGGTGTAGATGGAGAAGAGGAGGGGCCCGAGGACAGAGCCTTGGGGGACCCCAATAGAGAGGGGGAGAGGGGGGGAGGTGGCAGCGTTATAGGTAACGCTGAAGGAGCGTTGGGATAGATAGGAGGAGAGCCAGGAGAGAGCGGAGTCTCTGATGCCAAGGGAGTATAGTTTATTAAGGAGGAGGGGGTGGTCGACTGTGTCGAAGGCCGCGGAGAGGTCGAGGAGTAGGAGGACTGAGTAGTGGCCATTAGCTTTGGCGGTTAGCAGGTCATTAGTGATTTTGAGTAAGGCGGTTTCAGTGAAGTGTAGGGGACGGAAGCCAGACTGTAGTGGATCGAGGAGGTTGCTGTCATTGAGGTGGGAACTCAGGCGATTGTAGACTAAGCGCTGCAGGAGTTTGGATGAAAATGGCAGCAGGGAGATGGGTCTAAGGTTGCTCAGGTCGGTGGGGTCCAGTGAGTATGGGAGTGATGTGCGCGTGCTTTAGGGGGGAGGGGAATGCGCCAGTAGAGAGGGAGAGATTGAAGATGTGGGTGAGGGAGCATAGGATGGAGGAGGAGGGAGACCAGAGGAGTTGTGTGGGGACAGGGTCAGGGGGCAAGTGGTGAGGCAGGCTTCTGAGAAGACCTTAGTGACCTCTTCAGTGGTAGCAAGGTTGAAGGAGTGGAGTGTTGGGGAGGTTTTAGTGTGCTGGATGTTAGGTGTGGTGGGGGTCAGGGTGGTTGCGGGGTCAGGGGAAGGGAGAGTTGGGGTTATCGTGGGAGGGAGGCTAGGTGGGGGGTAGATTGAGCATTGGCGATGTCTTTACGGATTGCGTCGATCTTGTTTTGGAAGTGGTTGGCAATCTCTTGGACGGTGAGTGAGGTACTGGGTGGAGGTGGGGGGGGGGGGAGTAGTAGGGAGTTGAAAGTGGAGAAGAGCCGGCGAGGAGAGGTGGAGAGGGTATTGATGAGGGTTACGAAGTAGGCTTTTTTGGCGGCATGGAGGGAGGAGGTGTAGGTGAGCAAGGCGGATTT